AGGATTAAGTCAAAACCTGTCAGAGTCAACGGCCAACTGGCATCGCGGGGGTGGGTTTTCATTTTACAGCTGTGGGGGTGACTTCAACACCATGGGGGAAACTGCTGAATCACCTTCGCCACCCACGCAAACGGAACCTCACAAAAACAATGCCTAGATCAAAAGCAGGCCCAAAAAAGACCCCAACTATTATGCAGACTTGCAAGGAAAGTATGCAGAATATACGAGAGTAAAAGCGTTCCTCACTATATCACAGTCGCTGACCGACGTTAAGACCAGAACAATCTCCCTGCTGACCACCGACGTAAAAAGTCGGAAAAATATTTGGGGTCAGCAGGGAAACTATTGAAAAGCCAATGAAAAGCCTCAAGATTGGCCCAAAAATTCTAGCCAGGAGATCGAATGTGTTCTAGGACATTTTGCTGGCGACCGAATAGGAGGCCAAGCAATTCGCCGGCTACATTTAGATGATCAGGTCTTTCCCTCTACAAACAGAATATATGGGCGCCTGCAAGACAAAAGTAACTGTCCATAGGGTTCCCATAGACATTTTGGAAGACCGAGTGGGGGCCTTTTTGACCGGTACAGCCAAATGAAGGACGTCTTGGTGACAGTTAGCATGGTGGGCATCGCTACCGGGGATTTGTCATCCAGGTGACACCGACCCGGAAGAGTTTCTCGGAAATACCCAACGTCCTGATGTGCCAGGATAAGATGATGACCGTGTTAGTAGAGGGACGTCGTCCCTATTGCTGGTTGTGTGGTGCCTTGGGACACATGTCAAAGGCATGTCCCAGCAAGAACGTGACGGTGTTGGAAGGAGGTGGTGAAGAGGGGACGGAAGACGACAAGTCTCACTCCCCGCAGGAGGATGTGCCACCACCTCAACAACAACAACAACAACAACAATCACCGTCCAGAGGAGAAAGAACAGAAGCAACACCAGCAACAACAAAAGCACCAACAAAAAGAAAAGCAACAGAAGCACCAACAAAAACAATAACACAAACAGCAACAAAAGCGACAGCAACAACAACTACAGAAACAATATCAAAAACAGCAACAACAACAAAAGCATCAGCAAAAGCATCAACGGCTGAACTCGGACATGGAGGCGTAGAAAATGCCTCCATCCCAGTCCTCCTCTTTGGGGAGGAGAAGTTGACTGGGCGAAGTAGGACATGTTCATGGACAAAGCCAAATTCAATCTGTCTATGCGTCACTAGCGGAAAAACAAATTGAGGGCATCGCCCCCAAAATCAAGGAGCCGTCTCTTTCACCTGCTCGGACTCCGTCCACCTCCACTCCTACGCCGCCCCACCTTTCCAGGGGGAAAAAAGAAAAAGAAGAAATATTCCCCGAAGCAGAAGAAATCTTTGTGTACAGACTGGACTTGGAGAAGGACCCTCTTGGGTCCCCCTATTTAAGATCGCTTCTGTCGACAGAAAGTTGGTGGACGATCCCTGCAATTTCCCTAAAGCTTCAGGCGTGATCACGTGTGTAGAGGATACCGGAAGTTATTTAAAAGTATGGTTGCACCTGTTCGAGGCTAAGATCGGCCTACCCAGAGATCCGCGTGCCTGAAGTAGGATCCCCGGAATTGAAAAAAACCGTAGAGATGTTTTGAAGGGACAGTCCCGGTAATGCTCCATTCCTCGCTATATAGGGCGTTAAAACTAACGAACTCTGAAGCCGATCGTGAAAGGGATGGCTCCTTGATTTTTCGGGCGATGTCCTCATGTGCAAAGCGTTTGGCGACATTTCGAGACCCCTTTTACCAAGGAGCCTGTGACGAAGGGTTTTGCAGTCTTTGATTAGACTTTCGTCGACAATAAAATATCCATAGAAATTCCCCTATCGCATCATTAAATATTTGAGCTTAATAACTTTAACAAAATAACAATCTTAGCAAGAACAATCTTAAATATGAATGCTGGTCGCTATTTTAAGACATAAAGAGGTACAAATGAAGCGATTTGAAATCGACAATTTTTTCCAGTTACACTCTTTACATTGTTCAGAATGTTGTCCTCATCTTTGTTGTTATATTCACGACGTTTCGAGCATTGTACGCTCCAGCCTTCTTCAGGTTATATATTTTGGAATTTCGAACCTAATCCTTTATTTCGTCCACCTGGGTAGATTATTCTAGTTCCATGTACCAAGCCTTTTCTGGATATTTCAGTTTCAGTTATCTCCCTTTATTAACTAAAATGCCCAAGTTTTTTTTCACCTCTGCTTTGGCCAGGTATTGAACTCACATCTCTTTGGGTCAAGTGACTGGAATACTTCAACCAACGTTTTTATCCAATGAGCCATGAGCTTCGGTTCGAAATTCCAACTTATATCACCTGATGAAGGCCGTGGCATATAACGGCCAAAACGTCGTGAATATGTCAATAAAGATGAAAACAACTGTTCGAACAATACCTCATCTCAAAAATTATAGACAGAACTTTATCCATTTCACTGAAACAGACGTTAAATATTTCTATCTTCTTTTCTTTCCTTCTTTCATTTTCTCACTGAAACCAAGTAGCGTCTCTGATATTTCTGTTGTCCTCTCATTAGATCAAAACGGATTTGTTCATTATTTATGCGATATTAGCAGTGGACGTTAAACATTTTTTTCTTTTTTCACTGAAACCAAGTAGCCTCTCTGATATGTCTGGTCTTTCCACACGGTCGAAAGGGAATAGAATAATCCACTATCTATGAGGTATTGGCAGGCCGTAGCGGTCGTGCGAACTAACAAAAGGAGAGACAAATATGATATTTTTCTTTTTCACATTAATTTTCAACGTATCGCCGTTTCTTCATGCTATACTTAAATGTTGTAAACGTTAAGAGATTATTTAAATTACTTACCTGGGAGGTAAATATGCCCACGTTTGTGGATCATTGCTGTAAAGCAATTAAACAACCACAGGCAACAATAGAAAGCAGTTAGGTTGCACATAACACCACCAGTTGCATGATCATTACAAAGTATACAATCGGCTTACAAATCCCAGACAGTATTATGAGAAATCTTGTAATAATTAATGATAAGAAATGTATCATTAATGGACTTAAAATCAACTCTAGTATTTTACAGTTTATTATATATATTTTTTACAAAATTTTTCACCTTGTAGAAGGCCCAGGAGCCACTCGAAGTAGAGGGTTACAGTGTAAGAGATACAGTTTATGGGAATATATGGGGAATATGTGGTTAATATGAGTTGGACAGGTTAAGTTTGTCGTGAACTGGGAAGCAGAAAGAGGCTGCTCGCGTGGTACTAATATCTCACCAATGGCGTACGAAGAGAATGAAGCTGGTTCGCTGCAATAAGCGTGGCATGGTGAGTCTTAGCCTTGAAGGTTAGGACTGGAAGATCTACGCAATGTAGTTCGCCTGAACAATTTCAATGGCAATAACGATAGAACACCGAGACGCTTGTTACATTTCGTCCTTGAGAAAGGTCTTATTGGGTGGGACGTTATTTATCACCCACAAGGAAGAGAAGGTGTTTTTGGACTCTATCAAGACTGGAAAGTTAAGACTGTGTAGATCCTGCCCATATATGGCAGCAGTACTCCATTTTCGGCCTGATCTAGCGCTTGTAAAGGTAGAGGTTATCAGGTACTTTCTGGAGTGGTACAGAGAACCAAACATCTTCCTAGCATCTTTAGCGATGGATCGCATGTATGAGTTCAACTTGAGGTCTGGGTTGAGCTTAAGTAAACACGGGGTCTACCTGAAAGAAAAATAATTCGACACAAGAAAGTAATAACACATTTAATGAATATAGAAGCAAATACACATCCATGATTCTTAATATTTATTTAAATATTGTATTAACAGCGTCATTACACTTGTAAAATCACAAAATTAAAAAATATAAAACAACACCCCATAATTATGATGTAATTAAAATCGAAAAATAATATAACCAAAAAATGAACTACCGTAATTCCCAATATATAATACACCTTCATCAATAATACGCAGGTCTAAAATTGTGCTGAATGTGTGGGAAAGTGTGGGAAAATGCTTCTACTTGTTTGGTATAAATCGTACCTCTAATTTCTTTATGACTAGAGTTTCCTACTCTGATTTAAAAATTGATTCTAAACATAGAATAATATTATTCTAATTTAGTTTTTTGTTAATTCTTTTTTTATTTTACGGCATTTTTTTTAAAGATTTTTGTAGCTGTGCATAATACGCACCCCTGATTTTACTTATTATTTTTTAGAAAATAATGCGTATTATACATGGGGAATTACGGTATTCCTTTCTTAGCTAGGCTCGTCCCAAAAATGAAAGTGGACGTTACAGAAAACATTTAGAGAAATATATGCTTACTATCGACGCAGATTTACTTCGGTTTTATGTTCAGTTTGGGTTTCTAAGCTTAGGGATAATCTGATTTACTACTGAGTAACCGCCCTGTCGGCTGGGACTTCAGAATACGACGACTACAACACTGCAGAAGGATACCCCACCCAATGAGGCGTCCAGGGTATGACGATAAATTACATTCGGCAGCAAAGCTTCTGATCGGCAGGTTTTTAGGAGCGTAGAACCACCTCTAAATTGCTGCTGTTCCTAGGTCCACCCTGACCCGGGCTGGTAGCACCTGTTAAGGTCCCAGCTATGGGTAAATAGTTAACCCTCAAACTGATGTCAAAACACGACGAAAGTATATAAAAAACTTATAGCACATTTTTTAAAAGAATATTACCAGAAATACATTTTTGGAAAAAAATATATATTAATACATTAATACATTATGTATTAACATATATATATCTTAATTCATATTCTATTCATACGAACCTATCCTAAAAAATCTTCTCGGTATTAAATAATCTACTGAGGCTGATATACCTTAAAAAAATAAACCAAATCAAAATACTGAGTAACGAGTTTGATCCTCATTGGGCACCCCTGATCTGAGTCTTTCTGTCAAAATTAAATTAAGCTGGGTGGAAATTTCTTTGACCTGGAGTCTCGTTGAAACACCTGTTTCCGTACGTTCACTGAAGTTAAGCAACGTCGAGCCTGATCAGTACCTAAATGGGTGACCGCTTGGGGATGTCAAGGGTTGTAAGCTTGGGTGTGCGGATGGTGTAATCGATAATGGCTATGATTAATTGTTAATCGGAGAGCCGAGTTCCAATTGCTGTTGGATTCGTTATATTCACTTACGCGCAAATACCCTGAGGAAAATTATGACTTCATAGTGAAATTATAGCATGACTTTACGAGTGAGTAATTGTGTATTTGAGCACTGAACTGTTATGTAATAAATGTCCGCTTATATGTCAGTGAATGCTGGACAATGTCACAGATGAAGAAGCGACTCGAAGCAGCATGTTAATGTGGCTCTACAGAAGGATGCTGAGAAGTTTTAGGGAAAATGGAAACAAAAACGACTCTTATATTTGATATTAGGATGAAACAGTTGAAATCTCTAGGGGACCTAATGAGATAAGAGGAGTTGGAAATTTTGACATTCCTAGGGCATATTGAAGTCACGAGGGGCAGGGGAAAGCAGCGACTAACCCACCTGACGAGCTTGATACAACTATATATCTTTGACAAAAAGCCATATATTTTCCCTATTTTTTCCCTACGCTGTATCTTTGACGAATTCCAAATTAAACGACACACTCTGTTTATTTTAAAAATAGTTTACAGTAAACAGGTGGCAACGAGAATAAAATGAAACAAGTTTAAATAGAAGCAAAGGGGGGGAGGTGTATAGAAATGTGATTAATGTAATGTAAATAGACGACGGTTTATGTTTCTATTATTGTCACCAATAAATTGAAATAAACAAGAGAAGAAGAAAGAATCCGGTGAAGAATGTGTTGAAAAGGCTTTTAAAAAAAGGATTGACTAGATAAAGAATTCTGAGGTGGAAACAAACCAAATAGAACATATTCAAGAATTTCACTTGTGTATTGCTATATACTATATATATTATATACAAGATATATTATATACTATATATATTATATAATGTGTATTGCTATATACTATATATATTATATACAAGCTATATTATATACTATATATATTATACAATGTGTATTGTTATATACTATATATATTATGTAATGTCTATTGTTATATACTATATATATTAATAATGTGTATTGCTATATACTATATATATTATATACAAGATATATTATATACTATATATATTATATAATGTGTATTGTTATATACTATATATATTATGTAATGTCTATTGTTATATACTATATATATATTATATACTAGATATATTATTTACTCTATATATATTATGTCATGTGTATTGTTATACGAGGGTCATTCAATAAATAAGGTGAATTTTTCGGTATAAGGACTTTTAATACAGATAGAAGCTTACTTTTTTTTAATTTTTCAACGTAGTCTCCCAGCACTGTCACACACTTTTCCCATCTGTGCACAAGCTTCTGTATTCCCTCAGCGTAAAAATCTTTGGACTGATGTCTCAGCCAGTCGCTCACAACACTTTTGACTTCATCGTCACTTTTAAACTTCGTGCCTCTCGTGAACGCTTTCAAGGGACCAAACAGGTGAAAGTCTGAAGGGGCAAGGTCTGGGCTGTGGGGGGAGGAGGGAGCAGTTCCCAGCCCAGCTCGTTGATGGTCTGCACCGTTTGGGCTGCTGCTGTGAGGCCTTGCGTTGTCATGATGCAAGATGACTCCTTCTGACTGATGACCCCTGCGTTTGTTCTTTATGTCTTTCTTGACCTGCTTCAACAGTTCACAGTAGTTCTTCTGTCAGACTGAATGAGGTCATTGACTGATTCGATTACCTCAGGGGACCTCAATTCTGTAGGCCTCTCGGGCCTGTCTTCATCCTCAACACTGCTCCGTCCTTCTTTAAACAATTTAGCCCACTTGTAGATATTTTTTGGCTGAAACATGTGGCACCATACACAGTTGACATTCTCCTATGAATTTCAACTGGTTTGCACCCTTCAGCTACCAAAAACTTGATAACTGACCGCTGTTCAATCCTGGAGCATGCTTCTTGGTCGGCCATCTTTGTTAATTGCCAAAACTCTCAAAGTTTTTTTTTAATCTGCAAAAGAAATTAAATCCATGTGAAAAGAAGTAAAACAAAAATAAAAAAAATAAAAAAGTAAGCTTCTACCTGTATTAGAAGTCCTTATACCGAAAAATTCACCTTATTTATTGAATGACCCTCGTATACTAAACAGTTTGGTCATACTCGAACCCAAATGGTAAAAAATGAAGTAATAATTTTGTTATTACGTTGTTCGGAAAATATTATCCGATTTGAAAAGCTTTAAATTATGTTCCAATATACCGTATATAGTAGCGTATCATGCGACTGAAGAGCGAATTTTGAAGCTAATTTTAAGAGGGTCACATCATACATGAGATATAAAATTAGCATATGCACTATTGACTTTGGCTACGCCATTGACCAAACTATATATCCATTTACTGTAGTCAAAAAGTACAGCTGCATTTAAAATAAACATGATTTCGATAAAATTGATGTTTTGCTTAACTGTATAAATAATGCATGTAATATTCAGATATTAGTATCGTATTATAAAAAACAAACAGCGAATATGCATCTTTTCCATTTTTTACGTTTATAAGTTGTTTAGCTGTTTCTCGTTCGGTTATTTATGGCTGTACGCGTTTACGCAATGAGTATAGAATTACTAACGATACTTTTATCATTCTCTTTTAAATTTTAACTTATTTAACTCGAAGATGGGATGAAGAGATAGAGGAAAAGAGGTTAGTTTATTTTAATTTAGTCTACCAAAAAAAGGAACTCGCATGATACACGAGATACATGATAAAAGTGAAAATTTGAAAGTCACACAATACGTGAGATCACACATGCACGAGTGTATATGATATTAATATAATGGCTGCACAACAAATATATTACTCATTGTAATAATAAAATGTCCTCTTTGTTAATTTTATATAAATCTCTTTCAGAATTTAACTTCACCTTGAATATGAAAAAAGAAGAGATGCGTTTCCATTTTTACATGAGTTCAAACTTGGGGATACTGCTTTTCAAATTGGCGCCAATATTAACAGAGCATGGGGGTGTCGGACAGAACGGGGCTGGTCTCTGAAGTTTTACAATGGCTATACGAGTCTTGAGGATCCAAATAGTAGAGGACGTCTATTTACAATTGACAATCAGCATCTTAACACATTAATTGGATAGAACCCACGTCAAAGTGTCAGAGAAATGTCTCGGATAATGGATATCAGCATTTCAACAAATATCTGACCATTTCAAGAGAATTGGTAAGGTGAAGTAACTCGATAAATGGATTCCACGTGAATTCAGTGTACGTCAAAGTGTTCTACGTTTTGAAGTGTGTTTGATACTGCATCTGTGAAATTTGAAGGATCCATTTCTTGATCGAAAAGTGACTTCTGAGGAGAAATGGATCTTTTATGACAATCTCAAATGGTCGGCTGAATGGTTGAAACACGATGAAGCATCCAACACATTTCAAAACGGAAATTGTACCAAAAGTAGATTCTGGTGACTGTTTGGTGTTCTGCGATTAGTGTTACACATGACAGCTTTCTGGAATCTAAACAGGCTGTCGAAGTTTACTGCCAGCAACTGGATGAAATCCATGTTATAGCTAATCAAATTATGTTAAACACTGATTAATCGACTAGGTCCAGTTTTGCTTTATGACAATGCTTGGCTACATGTGGCCAAAATGACACGACCGACGTTTACCTATTGGGATAAGATTTCACATCCACCATATTCCCCTGGTATCTTGCCCACTAGCTAAAACTTTTTAAAAATTCTTGACAATTTTTTAAGCCAAAAGTCATTCCGTTGCAAATAAGACACAGAAACTGCATTCAAAGATTTCTTGGCATCCAAACCTTTATAGTTTTATTATATATAACCTTGAAACTTGATAGCAGAAACGTATCAATGTTCAGGGTACCAGTTTTCATTGCTGTAAACAATGTTTAAATATATTCATTCAGGAATAAAAGTTGATTCAAAAATCGGACATTATTTACAGTACAATATATATTAAACAGCTTTAGCATACATGAATCCAAATGACAAGATTCATTAAAATAGGAACATTGTGTATTCAAAAACATGACCTCTACTTAAATTCAAACGATAGGTCAGCTTCTTTTATTTTATTTGCTGTTTTCTTTCACAGCGTAAGCGATCATGGTTCTCCACAGCTTTCTGTATTTCGATGCCCTAAATAACATTTGACCTTTTACCATATCTCCTTGTTATTGTTTTGCCATCCATTCACATCTTTTATATTACATAACCTTTCTGAACGTGGGTGATAACAGTTCTCCATAATTTCCAGTAACTTTGGAGCATTTACAATCATTTCTTTTCTGTCATCTATTAATTATTTGTTCTTATTTTTGTGTTCGGTTCTTTTAGGAATTGGACGATCAAAAATAAGGCATACTCTAAATTAATATTTAAATTATTATAAAGAATTCAGAAATTTTTTAAACTATAAATAGTAAAGTGATTACGAAAGAAATTATTTGTCAGACATTTTCGATCGCTGGAAAGAGCATTTCGAAACTGTATTAAACACCACTTCGGCTACTGATGAGGAAGCCATCACGTCAATTGAGCAAAATCCTGAAATTCCGGAGTTGTCTTTTAGACCTACTTATCAAGAGGTAATTGACGCCATCAAGCAAATCTCATCTGGAAAATCACCTACTCCTAAGGATCTCATTTCACATGAAGTATATAAGTATGGTGGCCAAAAGTTGTTAGAAAAGTTGCATCTCCTTTTCGTGGAGATATGGAAGGTAGGCTGTGTCTCACAGCCTGCTTTCCATAAATATAAAGACGCTTCTATCAAACACCTCGACAAAAACAAGGGTTCCACGTGTGTCTGTGATAATCATCGGGGATATCATTACTTTCAATTGCAGGCAAAATCCTAGCGAGACTGATTCTAAACAGAATCATTATACACCTTGTTGATGATATCTATCCTAAATCGCAGTGTGATTTTCGGTCGGGTTGTGACACCATTCACATGATGTTTTCTCTTCAT